GGGATATTAATTGGAGAATCCCACTGATATAGAAATTAGTTTTTTAGGAAAAGTTAGTTTCCTATTTTATCACCCTGTAAGTTAGCTCTGTAATTCTATATAAAGCTGTGTATATGCTCCTTCCAAGACAATACAATCAATTCATTTTTTTCTCTCAAATTCTCACATCAACCATTCCATTTTCTGACCTTCTTACCCATTTAAAATGCTCCCCAATCTCTCTTGCTAAGCTAATAATCTCTCTTAGAGGCTGTCTAAGAGACCACAGTCCCAGGTTTCCAGCTTGCATCCACCCTATTACCAGCTTAGAGTCTCCTTCCACTTCTAATTGTTGCATTCCCCATTGTTTCGCCAGTTTTAAACCTTGAAGTAAGGCCATTACTTCTGCCCTTAATGAATCTCCCACCCCAATTGGGCCCGAGTAAAGGGCCAAAACTTTTCCTTCCTCATTTCTGTACACATCCCCAACTCCCAATTGACCTGGATTACCCAAGGAGCTTCCATCAAAGTTTAGCTTCACCCTGAACTAAAGCGATGGTACCCAACATTCTTGTTCCACAAGGGAGGAAGGCAAGGATACAGCTATAGCACTCCAATTTCTAATTAAGTCAACTGAGGAGAAGTCCTTGAAGAGATGATGTACTTTCAGCCAATGCATAACCTTGATGGTGACAACCTCCACAAGTGCTTCCTTGGATTTTTCTTGCCCTAGGAAGATCCTATTGTTTCTTTCTTCCCAAATTGACCATAGGATGGCTGCTCTTGTTATTCTCCACATTACCCTGCCCCTTTTCCTTGGTTGTCAGAAGAAGCTACAGTCAAAAAGGTTCAGCACACCCGCGGGGGGGGTGTTCCATCTATAATCAAACAAAGAAGAGAACCAATCCCACAAATAATAAGCAAAAGGACAAGAAATCAAAAGATGAGTCGCTTGTCTCACCATTTCTTAAGCAAAGGTAACAGACATGTAGGGAAAGGCTCCAGTCTGGCCTTTTTCTTTGAAGTACATCCATAGTATTGATCTTTTGAAGAGCCACTTCCCAACAAAAAGCCCTAACCTTTGGCGGCACAGGAGAATACCAGATTTCTTTAGCAGGAAAAGAGACAGACACAAAAGAAGACTGAACTAAGGCGTTGAAAAAAGATGAACAAGAGAAAGACCCTAAAGAGGACTCTTTCCAAATTCTATTATCCGGGTAGGAAAGATCTAGGAAAACTAAATTCAAACCCAAATCCCAAGTCCCCTCAGACACACGAAGTGAGGAGATGGTTTTGACTTTATTTAGGGAAAGAGAATACATTACCGAGAATCTATCCTTAAGGGGGGTGTTCCCAAGCCAAAGGTCCTCCCAAAATAGAATTTTATTACCTGAGCACACATTAAATCTGATGAAAGGAAGGCAAGACTCTAGCAATTGCTTTCCAAGGGGAGAAATGAGAAGCCCTAGGGTTGACGCCAGCATCCCATCCATTAGCTGCCATCCCATGAATACTTTCCACAACCAAGTGCCACAAACTGTCCTGATCCAAAAGAAATCTCCACAACCACTTCCCTAACAAAGCTACACTTCTTAACCTGATATTGCCAATGCCTAGACCCTCCGCTTCCTTTTTCCTAGAAACTACTTCCCACATCACTAAATGGTCCTTTTTTGAGTCACCCAGTTCCCACAGAAAATCTCTCATGAGCTTTTCTAACTTATTGGCAACCTTGGCAGGAAGCTTAAAGGTAGACAGAAAATACGCCAGAAGGTTGGCCAGAGTGGACTTGATTAAGTGATTCTACCCCCTATTGAGATATAATTTCTCTTACACCCTACTAGCTTCTTAGTGAATCTTTCTAAAATTAGGTACCAAAAGTTTTCTATTCTAGGATTTCCCCTCATGGGCAGACCTAAATATACCAGAGACCAACCACTTACCTCGCAACCTAAAGACCTTGCCACCAACTACACTTCATTATCCCGTAAATTCACCCCCGCTACACAACTCTTATTCCAATTGATTTTCAGATTGGAGACTCTCTCAAAACGCATCACCACCAATCTCAAATTATCCATCTCCTCATTTTCCCCTTCACAAAAGATAATGATATCATCCACAAACTATAGGTGAGTGACAATTACTTGTTGCCTCCCAACTCTCCAACCTTTTAGTAGATTTCTTGAATCAGCCCTAGAAATCAAGACACTTAGGACATCCACTACTAAGGTGAAGAGGAAAGGTGACAAAGGGTCTCCTTGTCTAAGGCCCCTCATTGCAGGAAAGAAATCCCTAGCTACTCCATTCACTAAGATTGAGAAATGACAAGAGGTAATACAACCCTTCATCCACGTACACCATCTCTCCCCAAAGCCTCTATTCTTCAATACTTGATATTCAGTTTTTCCTCAATTTTTTTTATCCTAAACTACATAACTGGGGACTGGAATTTTAAACACAATTAAATTACAACTTTAGACAAATCGAACTAATAGGTTGCCTACAATACAATGGTCAAAATGACCAAAATATCCCTTGTGTCTAAAAATACAAAAAAAAAGCATAAAAATCCAAGAGATTTCCAATTTTGGATCTTTGGCCCTTGCATCAGAACTTCCAAATGTCAAAATGCTAATGTACTAGGTCTGGAAGCTGCCTAGGTGAGTCAAATGATGCCCGACCAACACTTCAACCATACTACTTAAATTTTCATCTAATAAAAGCACAATTACATTTACACGGCTTAGATTCTAATAATAATAAAGGAGACACCAGTCACTCAATTTGTCACAACAGTTAAGACTTCTTCCAAGTGACAGACACTTGATATCATTACCACAAAACAGAAGGTAAAATCCACAAATACTAGCCTAGGTTTGGTTACAATGTGCACAAGCACCATTTATGAGCCCCAATTGCACTTTATTCTTAGAAGAGATCAACTGCAGCTTATAGCAGTGATAGCTTATAACATGCTAAACTTATTCAACTAACTTATATCACATTGCAAACCCAGAAGTAAATCATGTTGAAACCAATGAATAGAATCAAAAGTATTTTGTAGATTTTAAACTGGACAGCCTTAACATGCAACTGCTTTCGGACAGTTTGTACAGCCATAAAATAAACTACAAATTCACAAGCATGACCGTTCTGCAAAAGATGCATTGAAATAAAGTAATTAAGTCCATTAACTTGTGGATCCATGACAAATGATGGGATAATATCCATTCCTCTGTGCAAATGTGTATATTGCAAGTGTTATATTCTCACCCCTGCATCTCCTTTCTCATTTGCCGCTAAACACTTTTTACTTGATTCTTCATGCTGACTTGAGTACTGAATTCCACCACTAAGTCCAGGTTTTGATGATGTTCGCTTTCGTTTGTATGTTAAAACTGCTTTATTGTTTATCATTTCAGCCTTCAAGCAACACTAAACTTTCCCAGTCCCACTCCTGACACCTAGTAACTTGTGGTAGTGGAAAAGCAAGCAAACCACTTCTTGAAGTTGATTCCAGACTTTTGGAGTAGTAGCTAAAGCTACTGTCTACCCTTTAGTTTAAACCATGCACAATTATAAAACTGGAGTTAGAAGAATTAGAAGCCACTCAAACACAAGTTGAGCAATCAAGCCACTCAAAAAGGAAATATGTAATTGGATGAGTCATGAAGTCTTCACATTATAGTCAAAACCATAGGAAACCAACTTAGAAAGCTTGCATGCAATCAAGAAAAAATTGGGGCAAACAAAATAAAGGATTCACAAACAATATGTAATGCAATATTAAGAGTATTAATGCATAGGGAGCTCCATAATAACCAAAATGATAACAAGCAGAGAAGATCATGTTGATATGATTATAAATAACAAGTCATTTTTATCAGCACTAAAAATAACAAAGCTTTGTTATTACAAATAATATAGCATGTTTCTGAACATAACCATGGAACAGAACATAGATATAAAAGATGCTTCAAGCCTTCAACACACCATATAAGCTAACAGCAACACAGACATTGAACTGCATATAAGTTGGTATCATTGATAATACTAGTCAAGAAAACTGGATCCATAGCTAATTGCTACTCAACATGTAGAAATTCTCCAAAATTGTCTCATTCTAACTAATGCTAAGGGGCAACAAACCATTTGTGACAAAGAGAACAGTATAATTAATCAACACTTGAAAATTCAAAATGACATTAGTTTTCTAGATCAATCACATTTCATAAAAAACTTACAATGAAAAATCACTGCAAATGTGTCTAACCCTGGCTATGCACAAGTCATGAGTTTGCCTCAAAGATCAATTTCGACAACAGGGACAAAGCAATCCATCTTAGCTGTAGCTCTGTAAGCATACATTATGACTACTACAGTAGTTCCATTTAAGCTGTAATTTTTGAATAAGATTGTCCAATCTAAATTACCATCAACTAAAACGCAAAATAAAAATAATTTGGTTAACATGGACACCAATAAAATAAAAAGGCCTAACTTTAGGCATCCTATTGCTTGGCTGGACTTTGTCCGTGGGCCCGAAACTTTCTATAATGACATCATACAAAACCAAAAAACTAAGCCAGTTCTTGCAAAGGTGTGCTGCGAAAATATCTTTCTTTCCACATAAATTTAAACTATACTCAATATACTCCAATAACCATCAAAAGAAATTTAGACCATGCAATTTTTCAGTAACAAAATCAATCATTAACCAAAAGAAAACAGATAGTAGAAGAAGAGGATCGAAACAAGAAAAGGCTAAAGTAAGTCTGATTTAGTGACCCTCCTAATGACCTCAACTTCAAGTCCTTTGAAAGGTCTAGCAGCAAAAGATAATGAGGCTAAAGTAACTCTGAAAATCATTACCATATTATAAACTATAGAGAAAGTTGAATTAAATTGAGTGGTAAGTTGTAGGATTGTTTTCATTTTATAGAAAGTTATTACAAAATTAGAACATAAATGTAGTAAATTGTGGGAGTAATTGCTTGGTGCAATGGTAAAACCTAGGGCTGACAAGCTTGATAATGCAGATTTGAGTCTAAGAGCTGCTGCTTTGTGCAGGGAAAAAAAGAATCCAAAAATTAGGTCCGTATCCATATAGCCAGAACAATCAATGGGTTAATGGCTCTTGTATTTGTAACAAGTAGGGAAAATCATTTTACCCAATTTTCAGTCTGTATCCATTATAAAGTAATTGCAAAAACAAAACTTACCACTCCTACACTAGTTCAATTGAAGGTGGTCTTTGAATAGGTTTATAACACAAACAAGTCTTATTAATGGGCTTTAAACTAAAGGTCCATTGAAAAAATTAAAAGACACATACACACACACACACACACACACATATATATATATATATATAAAAGGTATAGAATTGGACCCCAACCAATTTCATTCAAATGGCATGAATTGGGTAAATTGTAAGATTCCTGAATTGAATCATAAAAATCTTTATCAGTCAATTTGCATCATAAGATTTGTATAATCTTTTTGTAAGAAAACGATTCCATAGCATGGTTCTAATTGGAGCCCTTAGGATTCATGAAAGTTGAAACATCATTAACAATAAGATTTCAACATTGTAGGGCCAACAATCATACAATCAAATAATCACAGTATATTTCTCTTTGTGCTATTAGCCTCTGAACAGCATAATAAATGGAAACCATAAGCCCCTGGATGCTGGGGCTGAGGAACCTCTGCTGTGCTTTATGGTATGAAGGAAGAATCCCTGCTTTCACTGGATTCCCCACACCCACAAAATAAGAGAAGTTAAAGAGAATCTTTATCCCTGAAAGCTCTACCAACTGACATGGGTAACCAGATGAACAACCACCAAACTTTATCTCGACGGCATTTCAATAGAAAATGTACCGTTATGTGGCCTCCATATGAAGGGAGATAATTTAGAAATAGGAACTAATCCTTGGATATAGCCATAGTGGAGACCTAATGCCTCATTTGATGACAATCAAATCTACCACTGCCAAAGTAGAATGAACCCCATCCAGGAAGATATGTGATGTAAATGAAAAATGATCTACAACATGAAATTTCAATTTGAATTCAAATCCTTTGAGCTCCAATGCCCGTACACCCTAATGAATCTCATTTATGTTCAATCACCAAAGTAGACCAATTTGAATGCTTCTCATTAGTGGGAAGTTTTGACTACAATGTTCACATTGAGAAATGCCAAACGTATTGATCTGGGATGGTAATTGTGTTTAGCATGACTTAATTTTAGGGAGTCTAAAGACATAGTACAGAACTATGTCTCTTCCTTCCATGGGCATAGCTACTATCTTTGTATAAAACATCTACAGCTAGTTAAGTTGTACAAAATATGCTGTTTACCTGAAAACATGAATTCATATTCACAAACTTCTTAGCTGATTCCTCTAGTTCTCAAACTTCATATTTGGGTAGTGAGTATCCAGAAAATACGAGATATATAAAAGGAAATATTCCATTGCCTATCACTCTCCACATGCAAGTTCTACACAACCCAGGCATACGGAAATGAAAGAAGAAACAAAGCTCATACGGTGCCTAGTTTCAGATATACGAGCAATAACTAAGGTTTGCAATAACACGTTTCTGGTTGTTATAAACAGAAGTACAAGAAGAATATAATCCTCATTACACTTCTTATATATCAGAGGCAAGAATTTGAAAAAATTCAGCAGCATACTCTACTTACAACCACGAATAATGTCCCTTATATATCAACCAAAGCACATGAAAAGAAAAGAAAAGGCAACAAAAACAAAATCGGGATCACCCCTCTCACAACTCCCTCACTCTGCAATGAAACAAAATTCAAGAAAAAAATAGACTAAATATAAAAACTACATAAGTAATCTCAGCAGGAGCTAGCATTTCTCGCAATCAGGGAAAATGAACTTGATCAAATTTCGGTGTTATCCTCGTGGCAAATTGGCAATAAACAGAGGCAAGAGAAGAAAACAAACATATACCACATGCCAGATGCCTGAGAGTTGACGGAAAATGGATTCTCCGACCGCACCTCACCGGAAAATGTGAAAACACAAACCAGAAGTAATTTGAGAAAGGGAGAGATAGAGCGCGCGCTAAAAGAGAGAGGGTGGGGGGAACAAACCTCTTACCTCTTCGTTGGCTCAAGTAAGCATTTGTCAGTAAGTGAGCGAATTGTAGGTACTTGTCGGCTAGACCCACTGTCATTTCATGTCAAACGTGGCATGATTTTATCCTTCAAATTGGAATCTAACCTGATTGATACATTAGATTCTGTCGAAAGGAGATCCATCAAAAGGCGGGAGACCGTTGACATCTCGAAGCATCAAAAAGGGTGAATCAGCATGTGAGAATCTAAGCATAATAAACTAATAAAGCAAAGGTATCACATGACACGTGGCAGCACATGCAGCATTGTCCAGTTGTAGCGTTTAATGGATATCCACCTAAGACAATACAGTCCGCTTTGGTAAGAATTCCAATTTCGCGAAACCCAAGAATTCAATTTCCCCGCGAATTCGGAGGCAGAGGAAGTAAGAATGGTTTTGAAATCGGACGGTCCGAGATTATCCGAGCGTGGTCCTTCATTCCCTTGTTCCAGAATATATCCAGGGAAGGGCCCACTTCGGTAACGACGTAACGCCTACATGGATACCTTGTTTTGAGTATCCGAGATTCTTGTTCTCGTTCATCCTATGATGGATCTTATCAGGTTGGGATGAGAAAGGGACCCACAGAGAGGCTGGAGAGCGTTTAGACGTCCACGTGTCAAAAGAAGGAAGTAGCTTGCGATAATCCAGGTGTAATAAAGAGAGCTGTCGCTTGACACGTGGTACGTGCAAGAATATCCGGTTTTGGCGTATGGTGAGTGGATCAGTGGAAGATGCAGTGGAATAATTCAAAATCGAAACAATCCTGAGCGGGGCTCACTGGCCCAGGTCTTAGGCCCACATACGAGAGCAATGCCAAGGAGAAAGTTTCCTTTTTCTCGTATCTCGTACTACTGCACCATACACCATATGTAATGGAGTGCACTGGAGCAATCACATTTTGCGGATTGTGGTTTTGTAGGCGGTAAAAAGATCCGAAAAAAAATCTATAAGTATCGGTTTTCGTGTGGATAATCTCAATAAATGACAGCGGTACGAGCATGTTGATGCACGTGGCCGACGTTGACGTATGTGTACTATTTAAGTGTCGTTTCCACGCGTAGAATAGATGCATCTATATCACCCTGCACAGGAGAGATTTTATTCATCTTTCGTCCATTTCAGAGCTCTTCTTATTTGTTACTATGCAATTTACGTGAAATAGAATTTGAAAATTAATAATATAATTAAAAATAAATTTAAATGCTTGCAAAAATAACAATTATTATTATTATTGATGATGCACGATCTCGTTGCTCCATGCTGGAAGGTGGTTCGAACATCAAGATGGCTAGTTCGCTTGGTCGACTTGCAAAAATATGATGTAAGAGTGCCTGGGCTACTTTACCCATGGTGGGCACTCCAATGCTTAAGTTAGTGAGTTGGAGTTTTAGGAGAGAGTTAGAGAACAAGATAGCTAGTCTGAGAGTTGAATCACGTGTACCTTCTTTGAGGGAGGGGATGCTTTTATATAAGTGTAAGGAATCGAGCTGCCATGTCCGAATGGTCGATGCAGATGATGCAAACAACTGATCGGATATGTTATCCTTATAGAGGGAAGGTCAACTCCGATACAGACTGTGCAAATAATCGGGCCTAACGGTCAAACGCTATGACCCTGGAGAAGTTGGAGGTAATAACTTACTCAAGGGGGAAGTGACTCAGGTCAGGTTGGCAAGAGGAAATCACCTCTCATGCCATCCTGATGTCCTATGAAGGGACCGAGGTAGTCTGGTGGAAGTAGGTCGCATCATACACAGACCCGAGATCCCATCTAGCTATCCGCAATTCGATTCGACCTATCAAGGTGGCTCCGAAGTTATTGAAGTATCCAAGGTGATCTATTTACATGGTGCCAAGGTATCGGTCAGTTGTTCCGATGCCACTTATCACGATATCATTGGCAGGCCAAATTACTCCTCATCAATTATTATTATTATTATTATTATTATTATTATTATTATTATTATTATTATTATTATTATTATTATTATTATTAAATTTTGTATTCCGTTTATATCATAATCAAAAATAGCTTTTATTTTAACAATTATTTTTATTTAATATGATGAATATATAACATTAGAAATGCTCTCAAGTGTTTTCGACAAAATTCTATACATTTTCATTTTTTTGCTCTATCTTTTATTTTAAATATTTATTATTCAATTATGACATCATGGGTTTCTTTAAAAAGTTGGATCATTGACCCACCATCTGGATAAGAAAATAGATTGATTGTATGAGTACAAGTGGTTGGTCACTTTAGTTTTTTTATACGATTTGATTAATATTATATAAGTTTGTAAGAAAAATATAAATAAAATAACAAGAGAGGGAGTGGGAAAAAGACTGAGAGAGAACGATAGAGATTGAGGGAGAAGGAGATATTGATCGAGAGGAAGAGTGATGGAGAAGAATGAGAGAGAATGATAGATTGAGGGAGAGAGAGAGTGAGAGAGAGAGATATAGGGGGGGAGGGAGGGAAAGAAATTGAGGTTTTGATTTAGCTATAGACCAAAGCTGAGAGTGTGGGAGAGACAAAGGCAGTGGAAGATCGAGACATGAACTGTGACAATGAAAGAAAAGGGAGGGAGATCGAGAGACAAAGGGAGTGGGAGAGAAACTGAAAACCTATTTTTGGTATAGGCTTTTTGCTATGTCCAACATGGACTATGAGTCCCGTATTGGCAACAACCATATAAGCCTCTAATGACATGGTGAGGGGGGGTTTAGAATTTGAAATGTAGAACGGATTGTCATAGTTTAATGGTTTTTGGGTTATCCTATAACCTAATTTTAAATGTAGAACTGGCCCCCTTAAACTATATATTTCATGAACATTATATAAATAAGTTTTTTACTTATTACACTTAATTTTTGTTTGTCCATGATATCATTTGACCCAAACCACTAACCACCACCTAAAAAGAAAAATAGTTTGATTTTTGGGTAGACATTCAATTTCGCATTACATTTCCATCATTGATAAAACTATCTCTTATGTATAATACTTATTTTTGTTCAATATAATGAATGCATAATATTAGATATGTACCCAATATTTTATTTTTTATAAACATATAGCATTAGATATGTGCCCAAATTTTTCCTTGTTTTTTTTGTGATTCTTTATTTTTTCTATTTTTAAAAATTTGATTATTTGACTATGGCATAATTTCATTTTTAGATAGATTTTAAATTTGGTATTCCCTTTTTCATCATTAATAAAAATACTTATTACATTTCATACTTATTTATTTTAATTTTTTATTATTTATTAATTCATTTTACCCCAAATGGTCGAATTGCTTGCCCACCATTGGAAGGGAAGAAAATGTTTTTGTTTTAAAAATATTTATTTTTATACAATTAAAAATAATATTGTTGATTTAATTACAATAATTTAATGATGAGAAAAATATATCTTAAATATGGGATTTAATGAGAGAGAATAGGAAATATTTTTTATTTCTAATTGGTTTTAAATTTTACATTCCATTTCTGATGGTGCGCAATCCGGTCACTCCTATCTGGCACTTGCGTGGCTCCTGAAAGGTACCTGAGATGGAGAAGATGAAGAATCCCCGGGGGCTTACCCAGCGGGAACACTCCAACGCTTAAGTTAGAGTTTTGTGAAAGATGCAAAGAGAGGAAGAAAGCTAAGAGTGCAGATAGCGCGAGTATCAGGAAGTTATCTCTGTTATTTTGGATTGGACTACTTATAACAGAACTCTGTTAACTCAGGCCCACTAGCCTCTGACAGGGCATGTATAACCGCCACTGTCGTCCTGCCGCATCCGTTACAGTCAGGGCTGAGGTGGCACATGCGGGGCCGTCGCTGCAGGGTACGTACCTGTCAGATGTACGACACCTTCAGGGGTGGCGCGCACAACGCTGTCTGACGAGAGACGTGGTTGCAGTCTCCAGGTTTGTCAGGTACAGCGGTCGGGCAGGAGACCTTCCTGCGATATGCCGAACTGCTTTTTCGCGAGCTACCCTGTACCGAACTATCCTACGAGTGGCGAGTTGCCCGTAGCAAGCTACACTGAGTTGTCCGGCCCGAGGTGTCTTTACCTCGGGGTATCTAGAGGCAGATCGGGGTGTTCTTGTTTGGGAGTGGCCTAAAATCCACTAGGAGGAGCTCAGGCATTAGGAAAGGTCAGGGGACCCCGAGCTCGGAGGTAGTTCGGAGTACCTCAGCCTCAGGGAGGAGGTGCGGGCCAGGTGGCTCTCAACCACCGAGATGCCAGGCTGAACTTGGTGAGCTCTTCCTACCGAGTTGCGGTTGCGCTTGTTGTGCTATCACCCTGAGTCATTGCTTGAGCAAGGTCATGCCCGCGTGTACCCGTGCTACGAGGTTGGGCCAAATCACCCTCCATCAATTTCCATCATTAATAATTTTTTATTTAAAAATACTTTTTACATTTCATACTTATTGTTTAGTTTTTATTATTTAATTATGACATTATTTATTAATTCATTTGACCCCAAATGGTCGAATTGCACCCACTACTAGAAGGGAAGAAATTTGTTTGTTTTCAAAATATTTATTTTTATACTATTAAAATTAATATTGTGGAATTAATTACAATAATTTAATGTTGAGAAAAACATATCTTAAATATAGGATTTAATGAGAGAGAATAGGAAATATTTTTATTTATAATTGGTTTTAAATTTTACATTCCATTTCCATCATTAATAAAAATACTTCTTATTTATCATACTTATTATTATTTAATATGTATGTTAAAAATGTTCCCAATTGTTTTAATTTCTAATTTTTTCATTTTATTTTTTAATCATGGCAATATGGACTGATCCATTTGACCCAAAATGGTTTAATTTCTTATCACCACATAGATGAAAACACTATTTTTTCTATATATATTTTAAATGTATAAGCATTTGTGTTATTGGAATTATTAATTTATTGAGTAAAATTTAATTGATTGAACTTAATGATGAGAAGAAAGAAAAATGACTTAAATATATGATTCAATGAACATGAATGCAAGTTAATAACTTAAATGTTGGATTTAATGAGAGGGAATTGAATGCTTGAATATCTTAAAATTACCTCTTTTCAACTCATTTAATATCAATAACTGATTACTCTATTTGCCCTCATTTTTTATCAATAAATTGAAATATAAAGAGGTAAATTTTGTCAAAAAAAATTCCAGAAATATTCTTGAGGCCATTCGTACTTTTTAAAGTAGTATAGATTTTTTTTTTGTGACCTGGTTGGCGATCTACTATTAAGGATTTTTTTTTGAGGGGGGTTCATTTTTTGGATTAGGTCGTTTTTTAGATTTTGAGAGGGGAACAAAAACTCATGTGTTTTTTTTTTTAATTTGTGATGATCATGAAATTTCTATTTTTCTAGATATCATTTCTTAGGTGAATAAATAGAATTTGGATTAACTGAACGCCCCCCGTTGTTGAGTGGGCTGTGGGATGAATTGCAAAAGTCTAAGTCAGCTTTTTACACGATAAAAGGTCATTTCCATGTGCAAATCCATATGATAAAGAATGACATGAGTCAGGAGGATTTAAAAAATTTAATTTGTATTTTATTTTATTTAGTTTTTTTTTCTTGGGATTTTTATCATGCACTCAAAAAACCCTTTCTTCTTTTTGAGCCCTAGCATCCTAATCTTCTTTCTTCCTCTCCCCTTTCTCTCCCGCCTCACCCTGTACTCTATCATTGTTCATTGTCAATTTTCATCACTGATAGATCTCTCTTTCTCTCTCTGTGAGCATGTGTGGGAAGCCTTCTACATCACAAAATAATACAAATGCCTTGCATAAAAAAACAAAAATTTTGAGATGGTAACTTGGTCATCTTTCTAAAATGAACATTCTAATTCAAGTTTGCAACACGAGCATTATGACCTCTAGATAAGTGCACTTGGTGATTAACCAGGACCAATCCTGCAACTTAGACTTGGATAAGTTGATATAGTTGGTTGGATTTGCAGCGGCAACATGTATACGTCTTCGTGGCAGAAGAAGATGAACAAAAAAGGGGCTGGAGAGAGAGAGAGAGAGAGCCGGTGGAACCAATCTTACAACTTAAGACTTGGGTGAATTAATACAGTTGTCCGGATTTGCAACAGCAATATGTTGACGTGTCCATGGCGAAAGAAGATGGACAAAATAGGGTTTAAAGAAAGAGAGCCACCGGTGGTGGAATTTGATGGTGACCGGCAGGAGGGCGGAGAGTGAGGTGTGAGAAAATGAGGAGAGGAAAATAAAGCAAAATGAAAATTTTGGAATCTCTCAGTGGGACAGACTTGCACATGAGAATGGTCATTCTCGTGCAAAACTGATGTGGATCTTTGTAATTCACCCCACAACCTGCTCAAGAGCGTGGGGCGTTCAGCTAATCCAAACTCGATATTAGGATAAATAACTTTTCTACAGGGGAAGTTGTTAATATTTTGATAGGATAAAAATGTCAATTTCAATATTACATTTTTATGGTTAAAATGGCCATTGTCTTATTTATTTGAAAAATAAAAGAACATTGATAAATACACTTACCCAAATAGCATACACTTGTTAAAATGTCTTAGCCCATATCATATGTTAAGTTACTTAAATGTATTTTTTAAGATTTTATTATTCATTTTATAGTTATTAAATGTAATTATAAAATTATTTATTTTAAAATTCAAGTAATTAATGTAATTTAAATATGTATTTATATTAATTAAATTAATAATTAATTAATTTATCATATTTAATGAATCAAGTTAAATTAACTAGTTGAATTACACTCAATTAATTTACTTCATTTATCTAAATAACTAACTTTAAATCTGCCTAGATAAATAAAATTGCCTATTTAATATATTATTGTATTTTTATTAGCCCCTGAAACGCAACACAGGGGCACCCCACTAATTATAAATAAGGTAAATTACAACGACCCCCCTATACTTTGTTTTGCGACAAAGACCCCCTTGTACTATGACCATGAGACAAAGACCCCCTTTCATTAGTTTTCCGTTGAAATCTGTCGTTGTAATATTTTTTTTAATCCCCGTACTACTCTTGTAATAACTATTCGAACAATTGGGAGAAAACCACTGTTCATCTTCCCCGGCCTCACGAGACACAAATAGCAACGGCGGTAATCTCTTCTACCTTAGATTCCATCACATTTATCTCTCTCTCTCTTCTTCCCCTCCCCTTCCCCTATCTCTCCTCCCCTTCTTCCCACTGTTGTTCGTGTATTGTGAGGTCTGGAAGATGAACAATGTTTTTCTCTCAATTGTCCGAATAATTATTACAACGGTAGTATGGGGATTAAAAAATATTGCAATGGCGGATTTCAACGGAAAACTAATGAAAGGGGGTATTTGTATCACAATCATAGTACAGGGGGGCCTTTATCACAAAACAAAGTACAGGGGGTATTTGTCATGAACCCCATAGAACAGGGGGTCTTTATAATTTACCCTTATAAATATAATTGAAGATTATTGCCTGAAGAAGAATAATTTCAATAATTAGTTATAGTCATAGCTATTGGGAAGCCAACTAGGTAGTAAATAATCATACCTTTAATTTGGAAGATGTATGTTTAAGTCTTAGTATTAGTTTATTATGTTTTTAATCTCTCCCTAATAGGGACAGAACAAATAACGAAATTTGACAATCCTACAATTAATGGTGTTAATGGTGATAATTATGGATTCAATTTGAAATTTGAGATAAAGGACCAGGCATAAAAAAAAGTGGGTAAAGGAACAATAACGATAAATGAGATTTAATGGATTAACTGGCACAAGTAATGAAACTTGGCTGCATGAGCTTATATTACACCATCAATTACAGTTTGAAGAGGGTTGTATCATGTTAGTAACCGGCATCAAAACTTTTGCCAACTCTTATGGTTATATTTCCTGAATCATCTTTTTGTGCTCAAGCTTAGGGCATTCTCAAAAAACAGCATATTACATCTCAATCTAAGTGTGGTGACAAATAAGCAATGTATATTAAGGTTTCGGTCATTCTTTAATAGGATTATGTAGGCCACCGTATAGTTGAGACTTGGGATAGGAATAAAAACCATATTTTTCTTGAAATTCAAATTTAAATGTTTATTAATTTGCTATTCAACCCATTAAATCCTACTTTTTCATTCATTGTGCCTTTTACCCACTTTTTAATTCTCCATTACTTATTGTCCTTTAAAATCCAAAGTTAAATTTAAACCCATTAATTAATTACTACTATTAATGCCAATAATTGTGGACTTTCAAATCTTCCCATTTATTCTCTCTTTATTAATCACATTATCAATAAATGTTATCTTACAAGCCATTAATAAAACTATATTTCGCATCATCCAAATTATGGGTATGACTATACATTTATCACTGAAAAAACGACTGTTCACCACTAGACCATATTCTAACGTTATGCAAGTAAGACTTTATTTAATATGGAGTTACACGCAATTCAAACAAATAATGTTATATATGAATGTTCAAAACATATTAATGAAATGAATGATATATTAAGTCCATCAATCCATATTTACATCAACAAACAATTTTTTATGTTTGACAATTTACAAAATAAAAATACTAAAAATACAATAATTATTCTAGTAATTAAGATGTATGAATTTGCATATCATATATATCTTAAAATAATAAAAACCTTAACATTATAATTTACATACATTACTTATTATGCATATATATATATTAAATGAAGGCTTTCAGGCTACAACCCCCACCATTCTGACTTGTGGCTTTTTCAAATCTAACACATGGCATTTTTTAAGAAGTTGTCGTTAAAGCCCACAATCCACTATCACCATTCAGACAAGTGGCATTTGCATTTTCTATAATGCTAAACACATGACAATTTATGAGAAATTATTGCTAAAACTTACAACTTACTACCAGGTTATAGCTCCCCACCATTTAGACATATGACCTTTTCATTTTTGCTGGAAAGTTATACATGTGACAATTTCTGAGAAGTTGTTACTAAATCCCACAACCCACTACCACCATTTTCAATCAATTATTAAAAAATGTAGAAAATGTAAAAGTGGTTATCCACAACCACTTTTGTCTACATTCTATCAATCTCACTTAATCATTAACCTTCTATGTATCATAACAAAATAAAATTACCCATATATAATAATCACTGAAAAGCTATTTTTTTAAATAAATATTTTTTTTGTAATTTTCATAATTTGTTAAAATATTAATAAATATAAATTTAATAGTTTTAATTCCATAATGTGAATTTTAGCATTATTTGGTCATTCACAAGTTCAAATATTAAATTGAAGAAAAATCATCAAATCACTTAAGTTCAATTGAGTTCATGGTCTTTGCACCCATGAGTGCTCAAGTTCAGATCTTCAAATCATCAAAGTTGTTTTTTTTTTTAAGGCAAATTTGGTTGCAAGGTCCATTTAGGAAAATCCATGTACTTTGGGCCTAGTGCCACATTGCTCCCCAAACTTTAAAGTGTGACAATTCAGCACCCGAACTTTCGAAATATGATAATCCAGTACCTATTCTTAACTAATTGTTAACACGCCATTAAGTGGCATTTGAAAAGGACACACATGCCCTTCAAGTGTCATCTAATTTTGTTTACCAATCCTTGCTTCTTCTATTTAATAAAATTGGGGTCACATTTGAGTGGGTATTCTGCTGATCCCAATAAGAATTTGGGACTATTAATTTTTTTTGACAATATTTGAATAATTGATAAAGAAAATTAGATGATATTTGAATAGTATTTGTATCTTTGAAAATGCAACTTAAAGTTAGATTAACCAACTGTTAAATTGGTTAAGGTACTGAATTATGTCAAAGTTAAGGTACTGAATCGTCGCACTTTAAAGTTTGCATTTTAAAGTTTGTGGTAATTACACGGGAAACAATAAGAGGCCAGACCAGTGAACCAACGGCGGTAATCTCGCTCCTACCATTCTCCGGCCAAAATTCCAACATACTAGCAGCGAACAGAGCATCACGGACCATCACCCTTCTCCCTCTTCTGCTACCGACCAGACGATCATAGTGCCTCTGTTTCCACATCATTCTATCCCTGCTCTTTTTCTGCGGACGGACAAAGCATCCAGCAGTAGCAGTGATCTGTAGTTAATCCAGGCCCATCCTCCTCTCTCCAACGGACGCACTGTTGCTCCTCTCCACCGTGAGGTAACCCATCGAAACTTGATCTTGAAGTCTATATTTGAGGGTGATTAACACCCACTTCGACGCGATTTGAATGTTGATGGAAGTTAGTGGTAAGCATAGATCGGTGGCAGGAACTCCTCGAAAATCATTGACAGGCTCAATTCTCTCCAGTTTTTTTTTCTTGTATTTTATTTGTTATTTATTTTTAGCTATCTCTTATTTGCTATTTCAGGTGCTTCGATTTGTTTTTACGCGCTACCTGTTCTAGTGTTGCTAATTGTTTTACATCTTTCTGCTTAGAGGTCGTCTCATTAGATTTCATCGGGTTTAGGTAGTTATCACTAGGGAGATTAACGTATCTCTTCCATTTACTCTCTTAATTCTGTTAGATAATTGCTCAAAACCGTCGATCCTTTTTGCTACATCAGTCACCAAAATTCACCTGTCAGTTTAGTTTATAGATTGTATTCCTTAGTTCAATTGATCAAAGGTTTTAGGAATAATTAAGCATGTTTAACACATTCTCATGATTGACACTAATCGAATTTTCCCATACAAACACAGTTGATGCATGGGTTGCCTTTTCTGTTTAGTATCGATAGTTCATGATGTCGTGTAGGACTCCTTAGTTTTCTTAGTTCCTTTTTCATATTTTTATGGATCATACCCAATTCTGGATAACTCGGTTTTGGTTAGTCTCAATAATGATTTCAGCTCTTTAAATTTTCACTAAAGCAATTTTAAGTTGGCTATGTAGTTAGTATGAATAATCCCCTTTATGCATCATAAAAAAAATAATGTTATTTTGAGTGATCCTCATCCTATGTTGTGAGTAATGTTTACTTCATTAATCATCCTTTTAGGCTAACAACAAGCTTTTGCCCTCTTGCTATCCAATTATGATATCCAACAACATCTATTGTCATTTTGCATGACCTAATACCTGTTAGCTAGTACCCCATTTTGTGTTATTAGATAACACTCATTCCATGCCACTTTTTGTAAGCCATTATTATTTTTTTTATTTTAGTTTAATAAGCAATTTTAATTTCAATTTCATGTTTATGTTTGATGTCCTTTTTAGATTTTAAACGATTTCTCTCTTTCTATATTGTTATGTAGCTCTCATTGCATGTCATTTACTAATTCTCATTTTCATGGAATCCTCTTCTTGGGTATAAGAAAGTTTCGTATTTTACTTGACACATTAAGTTGTTTCCATTTGGAATAATTCTGTTGTTTACTTCAGTTTTTTTCCCCCATGTGGGCCTCACCTATTGGACCCGGGAGAGGGGTGCCTAACCCCTTCCCTCTCCCATCCGAGTCTTACCCGAACTGGTTTAGCCGGTGCCTCGGGCTTTGGAGTCACTATTAAAACAAAATGTCTTTGAAATTTATTCCCGGAGGTTCCATCACCTCCATTTCCCAAACAGGTGGGTGGCGACTCCAAATCCAGCACAAGTGAGCCGTTTTCCCAACACTCACATTCTTAATTCTCTCAATTCTCTGTTCTGCCATTGAAACAAGTTTATTCTCTGAAACGACCTGCTTTCAATCTCTAAGTAAGACTCTCTCTCTCTCTCTCTCTCTCCAGCCATGCGCCAATGCATTTGGCATGCTAAATGCCTTAGAACAGAACTTTAAGCAATATCAAAAGTATACAGTGAGAATTTTTCGGGGAGGATCAGGAGAAGAACCTGTTACTTTGTTTTTCTGTGTCTGTGCCATTTCAGCTTCAATTTCTTTTAATATTTTCTATGATACCCATTCTTCCTAGAAATACCTGTGAAAAGAGAGAAAGTATATTAAACTTTTCACTTCTGTAACGGCAATGAACAGTCAATCAAACCTGCCAAACAAGTGGAGATACTCAGATAAAATCTGTAAACATAAACATCAAGAAAATGACAAATGCAAGATATCAAACAAAAGTTGTTTATTTGGGTCAGAAGATAAACAAGGACCATAGTGTAGAAAAGATTGATTCAAAGAATATAACTCTAGATTGACTGTAGAAGCTGCAAATTTTTATAAGCTGATTAAAATGATAATCCAAAATTGAGGCATTGAGGATGCTGATCAAAAAAAAAAAAAAAAGAGGCATTGAGGAGCTTGACCACAGGGTAAGTGGATGAATATATGTTAAACATGATAGTGTCTTTGGTTATATGGATAAACTTTAGTCAAATTTATTAGATGCATTTAGATGATTTGTATATTAGGCTCAGTTTGGGAAGATTGCAAATACAAATATGTTCAGTACAAATCAAGGTTTAGAAATGCCATATACAAGGTTCTGCACTGTACATATTTGTATTTGCATTATTCCCAAACTGAGCCTTAACAGCATAGTAAGAAGCAAAATAAACTAACCTCCAATAGCTAGTGACATACTAAGGCTATGTTTGGTTTGAAGGAAAAGGTAGGGAAAGGAAGGGAAAGATAGGGAAACCTATACAAGGTTTATAAAGGTTTCCCTACCTTTCTCTTCCTTTCCCTACTTTTTCTTTCAAACCAAACAGTCTAAAATGATTGATACTCAGCTTTGTTATAATTACCACTTAAATAGTTAATGTGATTTTTCTATTTTAACTACTGACATATGACAATCTGTCTTTTTGACTCCTATTGTGTCAAATTGGTAAATATCTAGCAACCTCCAAAAACAACTAATTTTTTTTTGACACATTCTTGTTTTTATATCTATACTATCTATAAAAGTTTGAATAGGTGTTATTGGCTTATGGAATTTCATTGGACAACAAATGCCCCCTATCTCTAAAGTTTGAATTGGAAAACAAGTAAAGGAAAAATTGTTATTTTACATCTTCATTTAGTACTTCTTATTTGATAAAAAGATACAAAAGTACTTTTGTTCAATAATTTGAAAACATGCTATAACAAAAATGTCATTTTACATTTTTCATTAAATGCTTATTTATACTATTAATAGTGTGAATAATGGTATGGAACTTTTGTTTGGCTAAATTACCCCAATTTTTGACTTTGGCCCTTGTCTCCTTGTTTAATTATAAGGACGGAAATGTAATTTGAAAAACCACTTTTCTTCTCATTTAAACCCCTTTCATTAAGTCTCATATTTAAATTATTAACTCCCATTAACATTCATTGAATCTTTTTCTTAACTATAATACCTCTATTTTGAATTTGGTCCTTGTGAGAGCACAAAATGTAATTTGAACTACTACATTACTCTTCATTAAATTCCCTCTCACTAAGTCTTATCTTAGGGTATTAACTCCCATTCTTTTATTGAATCTTATATTTAAGATAATATTTTTACATAATAAAAACAAATAAATTCTATCAAATAGATCTACATCCAATACTTTTACTTATATACATGTTTTTAAAATTTACCCGAAACTAAACTGTTTTTCTATCATGGTGGTGAGTAAGCAATTCAACCATCTAGGTCAAGTGGCTAATCCATGATGTCATAATTAAATAAGAAACTTTTAAAATATAAATAAATAACAAATAATAATTATATTCTTATTGATGTTGTAATGAAATATAAATTTAAAACCAACCCAAAATTAAAAATTATTTTTGTGATGGCGGATAAAAAAAATTCAACCTTTCGAGTCAAGTGTGTCAACCCTTGATATGATAATTAAATAAAAAAATGAGAAAATATAAAAACACAAAAACATTATCTAATAATACAAAATTTTGTAAATAAAATTTTGGCACTAYTTAATATTTTATATTAATCATATTAATGAAAAATAAGTATGATAAATAATAGTTGCTTTATTGATGTTGGAAACAAAGTTTAAAATTTGAAATTTAAAACCAACCCAAAAATGATTTTTTTTCCTGGTGGTGGGTCAACAGTTCAATCTTTTGGGTCATATTTTTCAACCATTGATTTCATAATTAAATAATAAAAATAAAAAAGAGATAAAAATACAACAAACATGAACAAGATAGAAACTTTGTACTATCAACTCGTGAAACTATAACTAAATAATAACATTTTAAAAAATAAAAACACAAAAACATGCAAAAAAATAAATTATGTAGAAAACATTTAAGTATATTTCTATATGAATGAACCATAATAAGTGTGACAAATAAAAATAGTTTTTATAGACAGAAATATAAAAAAATTATATTTGTCACGTGCAAAGCACGTATACATATAGGCGGTGTTTGGAACAGTGGGCGTTTTTTCAATAAACAATGCCACATAGGTGCCACTTCAGCATTACGCCCATCAATGGTTAGGCATTTTAATGCCTACCATTGGGGGAAGCTTCATTTTAACCCTTCCCCCAATGGTTAGACGTTTATTCACTATTTTGCTGATGTGGTGCCTAATGGCACCTAGTTGTCAATAAACGGTTTCATTATTACTTTTCTCGGTTTTGTAAAAAAATCAAGTACAAACATTTAGTGAATAAACGGAAGTTATACCAAACACATACATACTAGTCCCTCTAAAAATGGATATTTGTAGAAAGAGAAAGATCTGATGAAGGGAAAGATGATATATGACTTGTGCAGGATTTAAATTTTGAGTGGTTTTGCAGATTTAATTCAGACATTCTTAAGTTTCGGTAGCCAGTAGTATGTGTTGCAGGGATAGCAAACTAACAATCTGTTGGATTGAACTATTTCAGTTAGATGGGTTCTAACAGTGCTTATTGTGCTGTAGAGTTATGCCATAGGGTTAATGAGGTGGAGTTAGTGATTTAAAAGGTGCATTTGAGGCGCACCTAGGCACACAGGCGAGTAACATTTTAGGGTATGCACCTCACCTAGGTCCTAGGCGCAGCCCTTTCAAAAGGCGTACACTTGGTGTGCCTAGGCATGTGCCTTTTGAAAATTGCACTTTTTTCTTTCTTTTTTTGAACCTAGCGGCTGGGTCGGGGGCTCTGCCATCCCCTACTTGGTAATGTTGTTCATTCATTCATCCTAATAGAATATCTTCTTAGAAAGCAATTAAAAATTAAAAATTATAAAATCATTATTTTTGTGTGAGAACTAAGAATTTAAGACCCTAACATGGACTTGTTTGGGCTTGCCTCGAGGGGCGTGGCACAAAGGCAGCTCATAGAATCAGGAATATAATATGCTTTACATCACATTAGCTACTTGAAGTAATGCAATTGAGGAAAATGTTTTATATGTTTTTTAAAACATTTATTTTAAAATTTAAGTTATATTTTTTATTAATATTATGTTTAATATTTTTTGATTTTTTACATTTTTTGAAAATTTTTGACTTTTTTATTTTCTGACATTTTTTTTTTGTGATTTTTAGCATTTTTTTATTATTGTGCATTGCTTCAAAAAGGCGTGTGCCTCGGGCGCAAATTGGCCCCTGCGCCTTTTTTGCGCCACACGCTTTTAAAACACTTGGTGGAGTTTGTAGGACACTACTTAACCCAACTTTGTTATTTCCTTCTGTATAAGGGCTCTTTTGGGTTTTTTTCCTCTCTTTTGTATTCTCACCACCTCTGTTCTTTATGGTTCAGGGGTTGTATTTACAATTTTTTTTTCTCTTTAATACAAGTTATAAAAAATTTATATGATGATTCTAAAAAGTGGGATTTCTTATGCATGAGAAGGTGTAAATAGAAACCCCTTCGTATGAATGCCCGTTTGGTAGTTGGTTGAACCTTGAAAGGTAGCTCAGCTACCTCAAAACTCTCATCAATGATCATATTAGCTCGGATCAGTTGCTGAGGCATCATAGTCCTGCTGTCACATGTGTATGATGATGAGTGATATATTCAAAGTTGGGCCTCATCCAATCTCATTATCTCAGGTCTCAACATCGATTCCACTCACAGTACAACAGAAGAAGAAAAAGTAATTGAGAGGTTTAGAGTTTAGACACTTGGTAGCAATCTTTTTGCTTTGAGATATTAGTTTATTTCAGTAGTTAAATAAAGAAATAAATAAATCATGTGGTGTGTGGTGAAATGAAAAAACACAAGAAATGCGGGAGCAATGGATTCCCTTGCTTTAGCTTACTTTTGGGTATTTTAAGGGCACACCGTACACATCATTTTAGTTCCTTTAAGTGGTTAGATTGTGCTTAGTGAAGTGACAAACAGAGTGGACCAATCTGAACTAGTTTGGGAGCATCATGCCTGGGACTTTACACAGGGCTGAATGTGCTCTTTACCTTCTTAGTAGGTTGAATCATAGAGACAATTTCAGGTCTAAATTTGAAATGGGCATTAGCAAATAGCTTAAAAACACGACAGGTGGAACATATACATGACAAAAAGTAATGGTGACTTAGCTGATGTTCATGCAACATCTCCTTCAAGATCATATCCTGCAATTATACATTTAATCTATTTCTCATAATCATATTCTGCAAAGCCATAAATAAAGGAGTTGCTGGAACAATCTCCAAATATGAAAAAGAAAAAGAAAGGCTTAACGCTATCTAGGTAAGAAATGAAAAAGAAAACAAGTGGATAAAGGGGAGAAGAAATGGTTAAAAAAGTAATGAAAATTCACTATTTCCTCTGCAACATGTTACTGGATTCTTGTTGATCATTCTCAGGAGTCCTCAACCTCAAGATACTGGGAGTGAGAGGCTGCAAGAAGGACAGCTCCAATACCCGAGCCATTATTGAAATGTTCAACAACGACACTCTCAGAGGCTTCCTCTTCTAGCAACTCTTTGATAGTGCCTTCTAGACAATTTCTGAATTCGGTGTAATGTTCATACAGCCCACCATCCATGGCTATAACTGTCCTCTGCTTCTCCCCTTATGTGTATAGAACTAGTCAAACCATATCAGGTTTAAGACAACCAACTACTTATGTGTATTTGTTTTGAATGTTCAAGATCTCAATGTGTTAAAAGCCAATTGTATGTCTACATGCTCTCAGCTCTTGGAGAAATAGGAGAAGCCTTGGTAAATTAATTATAAAGCAATAAAATATATTTTTAAAAGGCAATGAAAGTTGTAAAATCATTATTTTTTATGTGAGAAATAAGAATTTCAGATCCTAACATAGACTTCTTCAGGCTTGCCTCGAGGGGCGTGCTACAAAGGCGACTCATAGAATCAAGAATGCAATATGTTTTACATCACATTAACTACTTGAAGCAATGCAATTAAGGAAAAAAAGAGATTGTGAGTTTTACATGCTTGAAAGTGCTTTATATGTTTGCTTTTCTTTTTAAATTTTCATTTGAATGCACTTTACATGTTATGTTTATGTATTTTAATTTTAGACAATAGGTTTTTTAGTTCATTTATTTTAAAATTTAAGTTTATATTTTTATTAACATTATGTTTAATATTTTTTAAATTTTTTTGCATTTTTTTTGGAATTTTCTGACTTTTTTATACCTTTTAGCTTTTTTTTTTTGTAAATTTGCGCCTTTCTTAAAAAGGTGCGCGCCTTAGGCGCAAATTGGCCCTTGCGCTTTTTTTGCGCCTTGCACTTTTAAAACACTGCAAATACTGTTGAAAAATTCCTGAAAATCACAGTAGAAAGCAATTGCTTTAATTAAGAACCAGTTTTATCCAACAGGAAAAAAGTTCTTGTATAAGTAATTCTTAACAAGTTAACAACCATGCCAGGGTTAAGTACAAAGTTAGAAACTGAGTTATCACCAGAATGTAAATAAAAAACACAGGCAAAAATTATTCTTAGCAATCATGTCAGGTAAAAGAATGTCTGGAAGCCACATTGAATGCTATCATTCTAGTTTGGTAATGCATACATCTTAAGCCATAAGTTCACCACCTTAGCTGAGTCATTACCAGAATGTAAATAAAAAACAGAAATGTGTTTATTTAAAAAGAGTTCAACTACTAGTTGTAGACAGAACAAGAGAATGCAACAAAGGGAGCTAGATGAAGAGGCAATAAGAGAGGGGAATAAGATGATGACATTCTCTGTTCTGCAGTTTGGATGGGATTGGGTTTGCTACTAGTTGGTATTTTCAGGCTGGGGTTTGCCCCTCCGAGTTTGGTATTTCATCATTTTTTGCAGTTGGTAGTAGGCTTGGCTCTTGTCTCACTCTGTTAAGTCCGGGGCTTGTGGTGTTCTTGTAAATTGTGAATTCTGTGGTGCTTCTCTGGGCTGTCTTTTTGTTCATTGCTCTGGTATAAATCTTTTATTCTTTCCCTTTTGTTGCTTTTATTTGAAATAAATTTCCTTTTACCAACAAATATTTTTAGGGTTCCCAGGTGAGGGATGGTTGATGGTTCTTATTTCAAAAAACTTCTAGGACATATTATATGATGTGTAAAACTAGCAGATGGTTGATTTGGCATATGTTGACATTGAACACCAACATCATTCAAGAATCAAACAAGTACACATGGCAAGTACCGGGGTCAGTAAAGAAATATGAATTTTGACATAAACCTGATACCCAAAACGTAATTCTCAGGTTCAAATTGTTGCTGGTGGTGAAGAAATTGAAGAGATTAGATGAGTTTCCTTCTGACGACATTGACAAAGAAGCGGGAGGTGGACTCAATCATCAGAGATACCATCGACAAAGTTCTTGTTCTTCGCTTCGGCAGGGCTTCCGATGCTGTCTGTCTTCAACTTGACGATATTGTATGTTTCATCCTAAGAAAATTAAGCGCCTGATAACTCTGATCTTGTCCCTCCCTTTGTTCTTGTTATCCAACTCTCTTAAACTATTTAATTAGGGTTTTACATGCAATTGAGGCATGCTATCTGTAGAGAACATTGATGTGGGCCCCACAGCTGTGGTCCCACTCTGTCCGTAGGGTAGAATGTATCTAGTCACAGCTGTGGTTATTTTGCTATTCTGTTATTTCTAGTTTCAGTTTTATATTGGTTGTTATTTGTTAGCAGTTGTGATGTAAACACCCAGGGCAGATATGTCCTTTCATGTAACTAGCATAACCTATATATATTAACTTAAAGTGGAGGGCAGAATATTGACATTCTGTTCTTCTCCTCAAAATTTGTGTTCTACTGCTCTTTCACCACTCTTTCTTCTACTTCTTCTTCACTTTCTCTTCTCATCGAACCTGAAATCTCTTATTGGTCAAGACTGAATAGCAGTCTTGAAAACCTACACTATCAAATTATGAATTAGCAGTGATGCCGTGATGGATGGATTTCAAGTGGACAGTTTGTTGAATTTTGAACTTCTTCAGGTTAATCTTTATGTGGAATTTTTCAACTTTGAGATCATATTTGTTGTATTATCACATGAATTAGAAAATAAAACTTTTATTAAATCTGACCAGAAGATTTAAAGGGAGGGCCGTTATGGTCCAATCATAATGAATTAAGGATGAATTAAAATAGGTAACTTTGTCAGAAGAGAATTTAGGTCGGTGTGAACCTGAATTGGGATCGGCTTAAGGTTCAAACTCAATCTCAGTTGAATTTGGTAAACCAAGAAACTAGGACTGGTAAAAGAACATTCTGTCCTAGCTGGGTTATCACCTATTAGAATTGCTGTCTCCCAGGAAGCACAACTTTAAGTTCACAATAAGCAAAGCTTATAGCTCACTTTTTATTTAATCCAAAAGTACCATTCTCAACAATAACACAAAAGGGCTACGAGTATGGGATATGTGTAAAATCTTCCTACTCTATAACTGTTCTTCAGTTGTCTATTTTGATGCATTGGTTACATACCTACTCATTTGTCAATGTATCAAACATAAATTATTAACTGATAGTCTTATGCTGTCATACATTTGTTTAACTTGATGCTCGGTGGATTTGTCTTACAGTTTTGCATATTCGGTTTTCATTTGTCATTTTTTTTTGAAAACTAACATTACTGAATTTTATTAATAAGAAAATAAATCTGTTAGTACAACATATCAGAAAGCCAATATAGGGAGGCTAGCCTCGGATAACCTCCATACAAAAGTACATCAGCCCCTAATCAACTTAACCCCAAATACAACTGACCCCTTAATATCTCTTTCTTTACTACTGCCAATCAGTTGGCAGCCCTTGGGACCCATTCGGCTATTGTTTGTAGTTCCTCTATAATTCTTTTTAGCTCTCTAATAATATATCTGCAATTCCAAGTTACCTTATGCTTGTTCTTTAACCACCCAATAGTTGTTTCTGAGTCTCCTTCAACTTCTATTTCTTTCAGATTCTATGCTTTTGTCCTCCTTATTGTAAGTGCTGCCCGAATCTCTGCCTCCTAGAGGTTCTGAGTAGAACTCTAAAATGTTTCCGGTTTCATACCTGAAAACTCCACCTATGAAGGAACCCAACTGACTAGAGATTAGTTTTCCAAGAAGATGAGCTTTCCACTTGCCTCCAATTTCTAAGAATGTCATCCACTGTGAAGTCAGAGAATAAGTTGAACGCCTTCACCCAATGCACCAATTGGTTGAAATATTGTTAATGGTTTCTTCTAGGGATCTTTCCATGTCCTTGAAAAGACAAGCATTTCTTTCTCCCCACACATACCAAAGTATAGCTAAGCTGCCCTGTACACCTCCATAGCACTTTGCCCCTTCTTTTTGCTGGAGAGAAAAATGAGATGAGGAATAAGCTCTTCAAATCCACAAGAGGGGCCCACCTGTTTCCGAAAAGAGAGAAGTTTCAAATAACAGACGCAAATCTACAAGAGATTAGTAGATGGAAAGAGTTTTCCCCTTGTGCTCTACACATAAGAAAAATACAGGGAGAGATCAATCGCCATGGTTTCTTTTCTTGTAAAGTCTTGCAAGTATTAATGTTGTCATGATAGACCTTTCCAACAAAAAGCTCTAATTATAGGTGGGTTGGACCTTTCCATATGGCGTTAACAAGACATGCAGTAAAAGGTTGAGGGTCCTAACAAAGAGCTTGGAAAATAGATGCACAAGCCCCAAGTCCCAATGTAACCCAACATTGGATGATTGGAAACAGAAACACAATGGGAAACTGAACAATGTTTTTTGTAGCAAGATTGTAAAGTGAAGGATCATCATCATCACCCAAGCCTTATCCCAACTATATGGGGTTGTCTAGATGAATCCTATTTCACCATTCCGTTTTATTTAAAGCCACATCCATTGTTAAATTATAGGCACTTAATTTTTTTTTTTTGATCAATAACACTTTCATTAATTCATCAATAGAAGATTTACAATAGGAAGACAAACACGCTTATCTTCCAAGAGCAACAAAGAACCTCAAGAAAAGGAAAAAAGAAGAAAGAGAAAAGAAAGAAAACACACTAAAGTTACAGCTTGGCCCAAAAAAGTGAATCCCTTTCTGCCCCTTGTTTAGCTAAACCGCCAGCTAGGGAATTAGCCGATCTTTAAACCCAACGTATCTTAACTTCCATCTCCCGCACCAGCCACTTGAATTTTCTCCTCTCATTATTGTACTTCCATAAGCCATTGTGATCTTTAATCAGCCATCCTATCACCACCTCTGAATCCCCTTCAATTAAGAGTTTCCTGATGTTCAACTCCTTATCTTTTTGGACTCCTTCCATAAC